TTATTTATTCTAGTTTTTAATATTTTCTGACTTTTTCCCTATTGAGACTTTTCTATGTTTTACTTTGTTATTTTGTCAGGTTTTGTTTGCTTGTTTGTGTGTACTTTCTGTGTGATGCATCTGGAGAGAAAGTAACTGAATTAATGGTAACATGGGTATGACAGGAGAGGTTGGGGAGATGAGGAGCTAAGAACAAGGAGTACAAGAAAGAAGAAAGTGTACTAGAATTGATTGTAGTAATGATTGTATAACTCTTCTTTTAAAAATAAATGAGTTAAATACAATTGTTTTGAATTAAATGCAATTTTACGTTGAATGATATTTTATGATCTTTGTGTACCTTTAGAGACCCATTGTGAAAATTATTGTCAACAATGCAGGGAGGAAAAAAAACAGCAACACTGGTTTATTTTTGTTTTCTATTTGTTGGGTTGTTAGGATTCTGTGTATACAAACGGTCGCTCCAGTAATTTTTTCCTGCCTTATGTTAGTTGCAACTAAAGTAAGCAATTTCTCTTTGAAAGGAATCTTGATTTAGTGGAATTTATATTTGAATCAGAAGACTGGAATTCAAATACCATCCACTCATCATGGGGCTAAGATCAATCTGCTTATTTCACAGGATAATTTGGAAGATCAAATATGGTGGACTATTGTGAATTATATAGCTGTGTGAATTGTGAATTATATAACACTATGTCAAAGAGAAGGATGGTCGTTTCCCTCAGGTTTAAAATAACTAGAGAGTATAGGAGTTGGGGAGGCCCTTAGAAGTTGTCATCTAAACAACAACAAAAATGTACTCCTGTGGAGCTTATTTTGACTCCCACTGATCCTCCACGACAGAGCAATAACTCGTGTGTTCCAACCACCAGCCTCTTGGTTAGCAGCCTGATGTTTAACCCATGGTGCCCCCAGGACTCCTGCAGAGTCTAGTCCAGGGGTCCTCAAACTATGGCCCACGGGCCACATGCAGCCCGCTGAAGACATTTATCCGGCCCGCCGGGTGTTTTTGCCATTGTTGCCTGTCATCCAGTGTGCATAGAAATTTGTTCATAGTTTTTTTTTAAAATATAGTCTGGCCCTCCATCAGTCTGAGGGACAGTGAACTGGCCCCCTGTTTAAAAAGTTTGAGAACCCCTGGTCTAGTCCATGAAAAGGGCGGGGTGGTATAGAGCTGAACACAAGTTCTGAAGTTAGCTCAACTTAGGTTGGAATTCCAGCTGGCATTGTTCTACAGCTCCATATGTGAGCCTCTATTTTCACTCTGACTCGTGGGGATCTCCCAGGTGGTTGTGAGGATCAAACAGGAGAAAGTGTTTGAACGGACTAGTATTCAGTGGGTGCTTAATAGCTATCAGAATCCTTTCCTTTCATGAGCACTGTTGGCTTCCCTTCTCAGACTGGGACTCCCTGCCTCTTCTTGGGGCATAATTTCTTGCCTCTAGATACTAGAGGTTGATCCCTTCTGAAGAGTATAAGGAAGGAAGGAATACTTGTCCTCCCTTGGCTTACACTGCTTTAATTGGTTGGGCCTTCCTGCCCAGAAAGCCCTAACAGTGGGCACACTTGCCCCAATAAGCTTTAGGGAGTTGGCTGTTACAGGAAGAGCGAGAGCCGCTGCACAGTCATCTGACCGGAGTCCAGGTATGAGTAAGACTATGGCAGAAGAAACATGACTACCAAGGACATATAATTTACTCCAAGCATGTGCAGGTGCCTGACAGACCCGAGCTTCGAGCTCGATCCCCAAGAAAAGGATATTAGAGCATGAAGACGGAATCAGCTCATTCAGACACAAGCTGCAGGTGAGATAGGCCTCTAGGCCTTCCCTGGGGATAGGATGCCTGTGTTAAAGGCCCTCAGCATATCTCTGTTGCCTTTGCTCCAGTTGGCTGTTCCTCTTCTGGTCACAGAGCTGTTCCTCCTTTGTTGACACTTGCCAAACAACCCCTGCTGTTTGAGACCTCTGACTCCTGAGAACACCATTATAAAATCTACTTTCCCTTGTCTTTCCCAGCGCGTTCACTTCCATCTTCACATCGTTAACCCTGGCAGCTACATCTCCCTACTGAACACTGTCTTGTCTCTGCTCTACAGGGTCCAGACATGCTCTGACTTCTTACGAAATCTCCCCAAGCAGTGTATTCTGGCAAAAAGAGCTAGAGAGGCGTGGTAGTGGGCAACCAGCTCTCTACTTTTTAATTATGTGTTTGTATAGTCACTTATCTTCCTGAGTGTGTTTTCTACTCCCTGAAATAAACACAGAAGAAGAAAACAACTAGATGAAGAAGAAAGGGGTTCAGGACTGGAGGGAGAGTCACTAACAACCTGCAAAAAGCAGATGACACAACCTCGCTTGCTGAAAGTGAGCAGGACTTGAAGCACTTGCTGATGAAGATCAATGATTGCAGCCTCCATTATAGATTACAAGTCAATGTAAAGAAGACCAAAAATCCTCACACCTGGACCAACAGGTAGCATCATGACAAATGGAGAAAAGGTTGAAGTCATCAAGGATGTTGTCTTGCTTGGATCCACAATCAATGTTTATGGAAACAGCAGTCAAGAGATCAAAAGACCTATTGCCTTAGGTAAATCTGATACACAAGATCTCTTTTAGAGTATTAAAAAATAAGGATGTTACTTTGCAGACTAAGGTGTGCCAGACCCAAGCCATGATCTTCTCCATTGCCTCGCATGCATGTGAAAGTTGTGCACTGACTAAGGAAGACTGAAGAAGGATCCATGCATTTGAATGCGGAGAAGAATACTGAAAGTACCATCGGCTGCTGAAAGGACAAACCAATTTGTCTTAGAAGGACGACAAGTATGCTCCTTTCAAGCTAGGATGGCAAGACTTGGTCTTACATACATTGGACATGTTGTCCGAAGAGCCCAGTCCCTGGAGAAGAACATCTTGGTTGGTAAAGTGAAGGGGCAGCAGCAAAGAAGGCCCTTGAGAGGACAAATGGACACGGTGGCTGTAGCCATGAACTCAGGCACGGGAACAGTTGTGAGGATGGTGCGGGACCACGCTGTGCTTCATTCTGTTGTTCACAGGGTTGCTGTGGGTCAGAACCAACTGGATGGCACCAAGCAGCAACACAACACAGCAACAGACCCCTTGGATCCCACAGGGTCGCTGTGCGTCGCTATAGATCCACTGACTGTGGCAAAGGGGTTGGTTTGGTTTTTGGAAACTACTGTGAAGGGACCCTAGCTGAACAGTGGCTTAAGGGTTGGACAGCTAACCACAAGATCAGCAGTTCCAATCCCACCAACTGCTCCATAAGAGAAAGATGGAGCTGTCTGGTCCTGCATGGACCAGTTTTACTCTGCCCTACGAGGTCCCTGTGAGTTGGGATTGACTCTGTGGCAGTAGGTTGGAGTTTTGACACCACGGAGGTAAACTTGGTAAACTTTGGGGAAAGGCCCGTTAATGCTTCCCGAGCCCACCCCAGACCATGGCCTCCTCCCTCCAGATCTTGATTTGCAGGAATGGGCTCCAAGCCTCCGAGATGACTGAGGCAAGGTCGCTCGGTTCCCAGGAGCAGAGGGAGAGGATGGTGTGGGAAGGAAGACAATACAGATGTGGAAAGAAGCTTCCCCTGGGAAGGGGGAGGGTGGGCTAAAGTGGAACAAGCTCGCTGAGCTTCTGACCTGGGCCCGACCACTTTCAGCTAGCTGTCTCACACCGACCACTTTCAGCTAGCTGTCTCACACCGTGGTTCAGAAGATCAACTATGAAAAGTGCTTTGGGAACTGTGCAACAGATGAACTTGGAAGGAATGCATCTCAATTTACATTTATTCGTAAGCCGCACCTATGTCAGGGCATCTGCTAGGCACTAAAGAGCCTTGGCCGCTCCGTGGGGTTGGCATTGGACTGAGACCAGCAAGACGAGGCTATCTGCTCTCATTCAGAAAACCACTCAAGGGTCACTATGAGTTAGAATCAATTTGGTGGCAGTGGATTTTACTGCTAGGGCAGCAAAGGATAAGAAGGGTCCCTATCCTGTAAAGAACTCAGAGCTGGAGGGTGTTTTCAGGATGATGAGTAGGGTGTCACCCTGAGACTGGGCAACTAGGATGTGTCCAAAGAAGGCTGTGGTGGTAGTGGAAGGCAGCCCACGCTGGGCTGCAGGGGGGCAACTGCAAGCTCAAGATGCTTGAACCTAGTAGGTGTGGCCCAAATTTTATTTCCACTGCGCTTCACTAAGGTGAGGACTGAAGCGACTCAAGTTCTCCATGCAAGGAAGGAAGCCGTGGGATGCATGCCGGGGAGGGTCCCCACGGAGGCTGGAGCCTCTCTTCAGCACCGGAAACCACAGGAAACCAGGTCAGTGTGGGGGGCCCAGTCGCCTGCTCCCCGCGCACTCCTGCGCCCACTGCCCCCAGGGCGATGGCCCTCGTAGCCCCAGGCCCAGTGCTCAGAATCCTCAGGTCTGGCTGAGGGCAAGCATCAGTCAGGTGGGGGAGTCCCCATGTGTGGGCAGGTGAGGTTTAGGAGAGTACTAGAGAGAGGTGTTTTTGTTGTTTTGTTTTTCCTGCCCAACTGGCACGGATGCTTTTAGGCACCCCTGTCTCCCCAGCACCGGTGCACGCGTGGCATACATGCCCGGGAGACCTGGTCAGGTGTGTGCAGGTAGTTTCAGGGGTAGGCGGGGTTAAGAAATAGGTGCAGCTGGTCACCCTTCACGCCCCCAACCGCTGCCGGCTCGTTCCTGCTGCCCCTCTGCCACCAAAGGAGCCCCTCGCCTTTTTTAAGAGGGCAGGGGGTCTGGGGCCGGGTCCCCAGGCCCCCCACTCGGGTAAGGAATGCGGCGCGGCCGGCCGGTTAGGAGTCCGAGGGCGCTCCGGGGCAGGGCGGCGCCCCGGCAGACTGAGGCCCGGCCCCTGCCAGCCCCGCTGGGTGCTCCGCTCCGCGGCGACGCGCCTTGGGCCTGCCAGCCGCTGCAGCCTGGGCAGCCATGCGCTGCGGGCCCTGACCCACAGAAGCCCATGGGGAGTCCCGGGGGCGCGGCCTGGTTCCTGCCGCCGGTCCTGCTGCTCATGGCCTTGTCTGCCAACGCGGGAACTGGCGGTGCCTCCCTGCCCCGCCGGGCCACCTTCTGTCTCCTGGTCTCCCGCTCGGTAAGCAGTACTGCCAGGTGGGGACACCCAGCCGGCGTCGATTGGATGGGCCCCCGGGAGAACGCTCCTCCAGGGGGTCCCACCAATAATGCCTCCCTCTTCTCTTTCCCTCCCAGACTCCACACCTTCAGGCGATCAGCGCGTTGGGTGAGTTTCCGTCAGGCCTGTTCCCTCCCTACTGCTCTAGACTCCCAGGCAAGCCCTCCGTTCTCGGTTTGGGCCCCTGGCCTGGGAAGCAGCGTCGGATCCAGGGGCAAGTACAAGGTTTGGAGGGAGGCCAAGAGGGAATTCACACTGCTGTCCCGCCCGCCCAGGTAGGGCAAGGCAGGGACTCCATGTGGCCTCGGGCAGTTTATGAAGCCCCAGGAGTCTGGCCCCCAGCAGGAGCCTGGCTGCGAGGGCAGAATGGTAGTCTGAGGACAAAGATAGCACTGCTCCTGTGATTTGGGAGGGGGACAAACCGAGAGCCCAGGAGCTGGTCCCCCACTCCACCTGCCCCCATCACAGCTGTGAGGCAGTCCATAATTTACCTATTTCAGGGTGCTCTTTGTTCCCCGGCAAGGCTAACTTGACCTTTAGAACAGACCCGCTTTATGAAGGAGGCAGCCTGGCTGTGAGCAGGGCCACTTTTGGTGTAGACTCTCACCGGCAGAGCTCAGCGGAAAGCCCAGCTTGCCTGCCGAGGGGCTTCCTTGGGCCACATCCACCACTGGATTTCCTTTCCATCTTCCACAGGAACGCCTTCCCACGTTCTTTGCCATCAACAGTCCACCCTCCTCTCCTCACAGGTCGGCTGTGCCCGGGTCAGGCACCTTCTCTGCCAGCTGTGCCTGCGGTGGGTGGCAGGCCCTTCAGGTATAAGGAACAGCCTGTGGTCACTCTCCCATTCTATTGTTGGTGGGTGGTCTGGTGAGGGGCACCCCTAGATTGAAGCGAATGGGACTTGTCACACGGGGACGAGAGTTTGTCCTTCTGCTGCCAAGCTCCGCATGAACTGAGGTCACCCTCATTTTCAGTCGCATCTTTTTGTGAAGGTGTTTTTCTTTGCAGCGCACACTACTACCCGGGATGAAAAACTTTCAGTTCTATGTATTTACTGTCCATTTGTGAAGTGGGACCTCCTTGCATGTTCAACCCTGTATTTTCTTGCCCAGCTCTGGGCTTGGTGCCTACCAGAGGCCTCGACACTGCTCGACAGCCTGACCAAACTCAGTGCCATAGAGTTGGTGCTAGCTCATAGCACAGGGTAGAACTGCCCGGAGAGTTTCTGACTGTAACAATGGGTGGTGCCAATGGTTAACACACTCGGCTGCTAACCCAAAGGTGGGAGGTTCGAGTCCACCCAGAGGCACCTCAGAAGCAGCTGGTGACCTATCTGAAAAATCAGCATGGGAAACCCTTCAGAGTGCAGTCCACTGCAGTGACCAAGCCGTGTCGGGTCGCTGCCTTGGGGTGGAGTAGACTGAATGGCCTTTTTATATACTGCTTAGGAATTGGACGTTTCTAATGGTTTGCCGATATAAGTAGCTTTGTCTCTACTTAAGAAACAAATGCTTTGTTATTGTATTGTGACTGGAGGGATGAAGGCAGCTTCCTCTTCGGCATCATGTTCCCTCTTGATCTAAAACGACTTGCTATCTAACACTGCCCACCAGCTGCTCCTCAGAGGAAAGATTCACCGTCTCATGGAGGGTCTACGTGGTTAGGTTCCTCTAACACTGGGAGCTCCTCCAGGGAGGGGAGGGGCAGAGAGGGACCTGGGAGTGAGTGTGCTCTGCTCCCTGCACAGGCCTTCCGTGGGTCTCGCTCCGTCTGCTGGTGCGGAAATCCAAAAAGTCATACAGGCTCAAGTTCTGTAGGAGACACAAGATGCCAGCATCTGCTCAGGTACTCTCCCGGCGCAGGGCCCCACCGCCCTGTCCCTCCTGGCCTCCCAGCTTGCTTTCCAGTCATTTGAGGGAAAAAGTAAGTGTGGAGACGAGATAGGTTCTTCTGTCCATTACACAGTCAAGGAAATTAAGGTTTAACAAAGTTGAGCCACTTGCGTGTGGTGGCCAAGGTCCAGAAGCAGGAATAGCCATGAGTCTCTTCCCTGAGTCCTGGCTAAGGCTTTCCTTGTTTCTGCTTACAGAGGAAGCTTCTGGGTAGCTGTTGCCTTTATGGCAAGGATCCCAACTCCGGCCGCTCCCCAGGAATCCCCTACACAGGGCTGCGCTTTAAAAGGACCCAACCTTCGGACCCAGAAGCAAAGGAAGGTCTTCCCAGATGGGACTCACAGGGACATGGAAGTAGGAAGGGGTGTAGTAAGAGAGGGGCTCTGGCAAGTGGTGGTGTCTGTGCTAAACTCAGATGCTAAAGCCCAAGGGATGAGACTAACAGATTCCCCCTCCTCCCCAGGGCCTGAGTTCTCCTTCGATGTGCTGCCTGAGACACGAGTTGTGCGAGTGACCATTCCTCCAGGCCCTGAGGTCAGCGTGCGGCTCTGTCACCAGTGGGCGCTGGTGTGTGAACAGCTGAGCGCACCCTTTGACACTCAGGTGCGCATGCCAGCTCCGGGCCAGCAGCCGGGCCACATGTCAAACACATGAAGAAAGCAGGCCACAGGGAAGGCAATTGCCCAAGACTTTTCCACGAATGACTAAAAAATGTATATGGCCCCTACTCTGGGGAGAGGGATGTGCAGTGGGGCGTGGGCAGCATTGAGAAGCCTTTTAAGTCCCCTCAAGCGATGGGGAAAATGACATACTAGCCATCTTGTGTTGGTGGCATCCCATCTCCCTCCCCTGTGAAGGGCCCTGTCATCCCGCCCCGCAAGGAGGCCCCTGCACCTCTGCAGGGACCTATCATTGCTCCAGCCCTGGGGCCCCATCCCTCCTCATTTATAAAATGGGGATGATGCCTCAGAGGCACGTGGCCCGGCCGGATTCTTTCCCTGAGTTACTGCTTCTAACACCTAGCAACCTACCTGGCACTTGGGAGGTGCTCAGTAACGCTCATTTCTTTTCCTGTGTCCTCTCCCACCTGCTTGTACTGAGACACCTGGAGCAAATGGCCAGAGCAGAGGCCTCCTGGGACCCTGGAAGTTCTTAATGGCAGAAATACATCTCCTCCTCCTGACTGCCTCTTCTTTCCCACTGCTGCTCTGTCGACAGGAAATTGTATCCGGGGGCCACCCTGTAGAGCTGCCATTTGAATTCCTTCTGCCCTGTCTGTGCATAGAGGTGAGTGAGTGAGTGAGTGAGTGAGTGAGTGAGTGAGTGAGTGAGTGTGTGTGCTGTCCATGGCTCCCCTACAAGGTCCCTCAGGGGTTGAGCATATCTTCAGGAAGTCAGGTTTAAAAATGACCAGGGGTTACCAAGATGCTTGGGAAGGCTGGTCCCAGCCTGGCTGTGCGGCCACACACTGATCTGTGCTGGAAGGGTCCTGCTGAGGACAGGGTCTTCTTGGGGGTGGCACCAACCTCAGCTCCATCCACATGTAGGTTCTTCCTGGGCCAGACTAGATGGCCACCTTTTCTGGGTGCCCTGGGGGTGAACACTGCAAGTTTCCATGGGCCCTTAAAACCTTCTCCCCACTACTGTCCATGACAACCCTCCTCCTCTCCTGTGCAACCCCAGTATGCCTTGGATTAGCAAGAAAAGTACAGTGAGACTTTGAACCCAGGAGAAGAAAGGACGGTTGTAGGCAGAAACCTCGAGCAGGGGGACAGCTGGGGATTTGGGTGGTCTCGGGTGAGGACTAACACAGGACACTGGGCCCTGTGGGGACAGCTGAGTGGAGGCCAGGGATGTTTGAGAACTGTGGATTTCTAGATCCCCCTTCTTTAGGAGGATGGGTTCTCCTCTGCAGGAGAAGAGGAGCCAGCTTCTCTCCTCCTCTCTGGGGTTTCTTCCCCCGAGGTCAGGTACCACCCGACCTTCCCCACACTCCACCGTGCTCCCCATGTCAGATTCCCTGCCAGCTCAGGCAGCACACACAGAGTCAGACAAAGCCACCATCGCTCTGACCCTCCCTGCCTGTTTCCTGTCCCCACTAGGCGTCCTACCTGCAAGAGGACACCGTGAGGCATAAAAAATGCCCCTTCCAGAGCCGGCCTGAAGCATGTGAGTGTGACTGCTATATGCAGCGTGGATACTTCCCTGTCCCTGTCCCTGTGTGTCTCTCTCACATGCACACTTGACACAGGTGTAGGAGGATGTCCCCAGAAGGCCTGCAGACACTTTCCCTGGGGCCAGGGGGGTAAAGGGCAATGGCCCAGCTCTCATGTCTGACAGTCAGCCTGCTAATAAACCAGAGACTACTGCACGTGGTATGCGCTCTGTAGAGGTGCAGGAAACGAGACACGAGATGGTGTTCTGAGAGGGTGGGCTAGGAGACCTGGGTTCACATTCCAGCTCTGCCATTGTTTTCTTCCCTGAGCCTCAGTTTCCCCCTCTGTAAAGTGGGAACAGTGCTTTCTGCCCTGCCTTACCATCAAATCGTTGGAAAGGATTGAATGAATGAAGCAGGGCTCGATGATCTCTAAAGTACTACAGGTCAGAAGGGGCAGGAGAGGAAAAAAAGTACTACAGGCAACTTGTGGTTCTCAAGTTGGAGAGGCAGGGCATGCAGAGGGAGCCAACAGATTGCACAAAGCAGTGCACAGTGCAGGGCAGGGTGGTAGGTAAGGGCTGGGCTGTGAAGCTCAGGAACTCAGGCAAGGGAGAAGAAAGACCACTCAGGCTGGAGCAGGCAAGGGCACCTGCAGGAGCTGGCCCTCGGGCTTTGGGAGGGAGAGGCATGCCCAGTGCTGGAGGCCTGTGTGCGCTGCGGTAGGCTGTAGTGGGGAGCTGGGAAGAAGGAATGCTGAGGGAGGAAAGGAGCCAACTGGATGGAAAACGTGATGCAAATGGGACTGGAGAAAGGGTGCCCATGTATGGAGTTCCCAGCTGGGTCAGCAGCCATGCTGGGCACTTCCACAAATGTCATTTGATGCCCTGGAAAGGAGGGTGGCAGGGTGAGGCTAAAGCCTCCCCAGGTTGAGCCTCCCCAGGCTGAACCTCTGACCTGCCACCTGCCCAGATGGCTCGGACTTCTGGAAGTCAGTGCGCTTTACTGACCAGAGCCAGCACACCCAGATGGCCATGGCCCTGACACTTCGCTGCCCACTGAAGCCAGAGGCCTCCCTCTGCCAGAGACAGGGTGAGCACATCCTCTGTGAAGACCTCCCCAATGCCACGGCTCAAGAGTCAGATGGGGTGAGTGCAGGCTCCCGGGACTAGGGAGGCGGGCTGGGACCCAGGGACCTTCCCCATGACTCGCTCCCCGCTCCCTCTACAGTGGTATGTTCTGGAGAAGGTGGACCTGCACCCCCATCTCTGCTTCAAGGTAAAGCCATGGAGAGGAAGTGGGGAGAGGATGTGGGTGACTCCCGAGGCTTGCGCCCCCCCCCCTCCTACGCTGACTTTCCACCCGTGTTCCCCAGTTCTCTTTTGCCAACAGCAGCCACGTTGAATGCCCGCACAGAACTGGTGAGCCTATAAAGAACCCCCCTCTTGCCATCTCACCCTTCTGCTTCCCCTGGATGACAGCCCAGCTCCCCTCGCCTCGAGAACAGGGTGTCTGACAGGTGCCCTCTCCCACTCCCCGGGGCAGTCCCATCCTGGAACGTGAGCATGGACACCCAGGCCCGGCAGCTGATCCTTCACTTCTCCTCAAGGACACCTGCCACCTTCAGCGCCGCCTGGAGCCCCCAGGGTTTGGGGCAGGACAGCTGGGTGCCCCCTGTGTACAGTATCAGCCAGGTACGGCCCAGCACCCCCACGCTGCCCCTCAGGCTCGTTGACTGACTTATTCAACTGGCTTCTCTGCCTGACACAGGGGACCTCGGATTTCTGACCCTACAGGGTTAACCAAAGGTCAGGGACCATCCAAAATCTCTACTACCATCCCGGGGCCCCCTGTACTCTGTCCAGAGGCAGGGTCCCCAGAAGCCAGGCTACTCTTGGCAGCATGGTATTCACTACTGACAGGCCTCACTCTTACGACGTGGACCATGGACCACGTCAGTAGTGGACGCTCATGTGTATCTGGTATTAAAAGTGGCAATCAAATGTCATCTGCACTCAAAACCACATCCCCGGGCTGACTAAGCCTGACTGGTCTCTCCAGGTCATTTGTAGCCTGGTGGGTTTTTGGGCTTTTTTGCATTCTAAAAGGGCCCCTCCACAGAATGGCCATGGTCGTGGAGTGCAGTCTATTCCAGCATCTAGCGACCCTGAAGGACAGTGGAACTGCCCCAGGGAAACTGGACATCTCCACCAAGGCTCCAGCTGCTGGTCTTTTGGTTAGCAACCAAGCGCTTGACTCCTTCCCTGGCAGGCAGGGTGGCAAGTGCTGCTTCCGAGTTAAGCCAGGGTCACGTGGGATAACCTAACCAGGAGAGCAAAAGCCTGGCCTCATTTGTGTGCTTGAGCTGGGAA